TTTCATTGGAAACAGATTTAAAATTATTTAAGTATCTCAAAATTAGTATATAGAACTTAAGTAGAAATAGTAAGTGGGATGAAAATATAATACCATGTGTTTAGTTATACAAATTGCAATCAATCACATTTTAAACAAATATTTGATATGTTTAGTGTTATATGAACAATTGAAACAAATATAACATTTGGTTAAATTTGAATTGTTAATGATCTCGAATACTAAAAATTATTGTTTAGTATTAAATGATCTATTAAATCAAATATAACCAAATAGTTACTCGATCAATTAAAAACTATTTGTTAATTGTTTGGTTCAATTTCTACCACTAGTCACATAGAATTTCATTTAGTAATAAGGACAATGCCATGAACCACCCCAACTGAATACCCATCATATGAAGCATTATATTAGATTAATTACTGTGTAGTTGCAAGTAGGGGTGTAAACAAATCAGATGCAGCTCGGATATGATCCTTACCACCTCCGTCTTTGTTGACCAATCAAAGATATAGAAAAGAATACATCTAGGTATGGAAATTTTCTATTCTTATTTTATAATATAGAAAGAGATGCACTCGGTCCGAATATAGCCTAGACATGATACTTACTAAATCCATATCCACTTACAAATCACAGATACGAAGATGCCTTGGATAGTAAAATTCACATCCATATCCACTAAAATCAATTACGAATATGCATGCAGATTTATAAACAAATATACATACGAATACAAAAGGGATTGAGAAACTAAATAATATTGAAAAAAATATAGTTTATATGATACAAGAGAATTCATTAATATATTTTTTACGCTAAAAAAATTTAAGATTAGATATCTTCATCATCACAATTAGTATCAAATCCATTAATCTAAGAATTAAAATTGTTACAATATTACAATTAATATATATTCACGTATTGTGGATATGGATCTTCGTATTGCACCACATAATCATATATGTAACCCTATCCTTTCATTCATAGGTTTTAGTAACCATACCTAACGGATATGGATATGGATATTTTCTCTTATATTGATATTTTTATTCACCACTAGTATGGAAGTATCAAGTAGTATTCCTAACATGATTAAGAAAAAACACCTTGTGTTATGAACATATTTTAGTAAAAAAACTAAATGTGGTGGTAGTTGCTAATTTTTTTATTCTCTCGCATCCTATGTGAAGATCATTACTTGGCTAAATATCATAAAACCCCCTTAGCTTTGGATGATTGTTATTAAAAACCCATTAACTTTGAAAATATTAGAAAACCTCCTTAAGTTTAGGGGTTATCAAAAAACCCTCCTTAACTTTGAGATTCTATCAAAAAACCCCCCTAATTTAGAGAAGTTTTCTAATAAAAAATCAAAGTTAAAGGGGGGTTTTTTGATAAAATCTGAAAGTTAAAGGGAGGTTTTATGATAATCCCGATATTTAAGGGGGGGATTTCTAATATTTTAAAAGTTAAAGGGGGTTTTGGAAAGTTGAAGGGGGTTTTCTAATGATTATCCAAATTTAAGGAGGGTTCTTTGATATTTAGCCATCATTATTTATTTCGCTGGATTGTGGAAGAGTTGTCTTAGCTTATCAACCGTAGGCACTGTACCAAAAAAAGACTTTAATAAATAATTAATTAAAAAAATATGGATGGCACATATTTGCTCTTATAAATAGAGACTTATGAAATTGAGGGCTATATAAATAGAGGGGTTAAAGAGTTTGAATAGATGTATGACTAATGAATAATGATTATCATAAAGGACTTAAATATTTGTATCATGTATGTATGTGTTGTATAATTATTGTTTATTGTATATCATGCACTAGTAGAAAAACAAGCAATCTAGAAGGACCAAACTAGACGGATTTATTTTTCGTCTAGTTTAGACCAAAGACGGAAAATATTTCATCTAGTTTGGTCCATCTAGATTGAGCTAACCTAGACCAAAATTTCTGTCTAGGTTGACTATTTAAACGGATTTTAAAATAATTAATTTATAATGTGGGCCTCACCTTCCTAGACGGAAAATTTCCATCTAGGAAGCATCCTAGATGAAAATTTTTCATCTTGAAAGATGGGGCCTACTCCAAAAAAACATAAAACCCTAACCCTAATCTGCCTAAGTCCACGCCGCCACCCAAAAAAACACAAAACACAAAACCCGAACCCAAACCCAGCCCGCGCCCGTCAACCACGCCCTGCACGCCGTTGTGCATGTCATCGGCTCTCGAACACAGCCATCGGTCGACCACGCCCCGCCCCCCCATCTCCGCACGCCGTTGTTGGCTCTAACACAACCATCGATCAACCACGCCCTGCGACCATGCCCGCACGCTGCACTCAACATCCCCGCCTCAAGCTTGCACCACCCCGCCAATCGGCGCTGCTGTACGCCCGCCGTGCCAGTCCCGTCAACCCACGTTATGCCATCGACATTTGTGAAGGTGTGTTTTTCATGAAAATTTTCAATTTTTTAATTTTTATTATTTATTGCTCAATTTTGTTTAAATACCCTAAATTATAATCTGAAATAAACATGTTCGAATCTTTTAACCCTAATTAAAAAACTTTTAACTACTACATTTTGTGCTATTTGACCAACACTTATAATCATAATTGAACACCCGAATCATGATATTAACTCTAATTGAAAAAATTCAGCTATCAACCCTTACTCAACTACATTTTGTCCTGTTTGAACAACGCTTGTAATCATAATTGAACACCCTAACTATGATATCAACCCTAATTGAAATTTTTTTAGCTATTAACCTTTATTCAACTACATTTTTCCCTATTTGAACACTTTTTAAACTATTGACCCTAATTGAGCACCCAAATCATGATAGTCAATCTACATTAAGTTTTGTGTGTATTATAAATATGTGTGATTGTATAAAATTATGATGTGAAAATATATGAAATTATTATTTTTTAAATGGAGTGATATATAACACATTATAATTTTCAATAATGTGTTATATATCTAATTTAGGTGAATGAAAAGATAACATATCAATGTGTTATATATCTAATTTAGGTGAATGAAAAGATAACATATCCCTAAACTCCCGCCCAATAATTACATCTAATTCTTTGGACTTATAATATGAGATAGACGACTCATATTTGGATAGGAGATGAAGTTTTCTCCCGGAAATGATCATTTACTTTATATTATAAGAAGAAAGAATTGGTATTAAAGTTAGTAATTATTGGATCTGTCCTTCTCAAACGGGTTAGGAATATAGTAGTGCATACATCCAACTTTGTATGCTTTGTATGTTTTTATTTTTTGAAAGTTTCGGCAGCACATATTCATTGTTCTTCTTGTACAATAAGCGTATGTTGTACTGCATTTCGATCTATTGCTAATACACATAATAACATCCGCATGGTGTACAAGGAGAACAGCGGGTAGGTGCTGCCAAACTTTTTAAGAAATAAAAATATATAAAGCATACGAAGTTAGATGTAAGCACTACTATAATCTTAATGGGATAAAAGCCGTTAGAGTGGTATAATTAGTTTCTATATACGTTTCAGATTTTCTTTAGGAGGAAAAATATTTTTATTATTAAATGATATATGCATGTAAGTATGATGTGTGTTGTATGTATATTGTCACGAAGAGTCATAAATTTACTAGTAGTAGTGAGATTAATTATAGTTAATAATTATATATAATCTATAGATGAGGATAATTCCTAACAAATCGTGGATAGATATTCCTCAACTTGAAAGATTTTGTGACACGTGATATAAGGAGGGATGTGACGCCTTCATGTGGTATGTCGAAATGAATCAGGGAAAATTAAGTAGCAGTGCTATGTATTGTCCATGTTATAGGTGTAAGAATATGAAGCTATAGAATTAAAATGATATACGGATCCACCTAATAAAATCAGGGTTTGACGAGAAATATAAATATTGGTCATATCATGGGGAAGACTATATTGAAGATGAGGAGCAAAATGTGTGTGTTGGTACGTTCGGTGGCTTATGGATAGACGACACAGAAACAATGTTAAATAATATTTTTTTGTCCTATCGAATATGATATCGATAATAATATTGAGGATGCTATCAGAGATGACATTGAAGATAATATTAAAGATGATGCTGAAGAGGTTGGAGCTATCGAAGGTGCATAAAATATTGAAGATATACATTCATTCACAAACATAAAGCGAATAATGGATCTACTAGAAGATAGTGAAAACGACCTATATGAGGATTGTACCGAGTACCCCAGATTTTTATTTATGCTGAAACTCCTACATATTAAGACACTTAGGGGAATGTCTGATAATTATTTTGAAATGCTTATTGATTTTCTTCGGATGCTTCGGACGGTAATTCCTGGAGGACAGGTTAGCATACCCCAAACAACTTATCAGGCTAAGAAGATTGTTTCCACTTTGGGTCTTGATTATAATATAATTGATGCAAGTCCGAATGATTGTATCCTCTACCACAAAGCCAAGACCTTTAAGAGTGTTTGACATGTGGAGTTTCTAGGGAAAAAAGTTTTTACACCTTTCACACTTTTAGAATAATATTAGATATTAGACGCCGGGGATCTTTATAAGAGTGATAGGGGAAGTGTTCTTGCAAAGGATTGAATATGAATCCTTGTAATCTTTATGCATGATGTGCGGCAAGATTGGTCACAAGATAATCACCAGAAAAACCAAAGCAGGAAGCGCAGGCAATGGAGGACCAAAGGGCGCCCTCTGGGGACATGGGGTCATGGTCGAATTTTCAATCCAAGGTCTCATCCTTCAAGCATTGTCCAAAGAGATCCTAAACATAATAAAATTAGATCTTTCTTACGTTGAGCGACCCACATATCACACATTTAACATTTCTTTTAGACTCCTAGAAATCTTTTTGTGCTTTTTTTGGACTCATCTCATGTTTAAGCATGAAAAATAGGCAGGGTCTACTATACTTCTTTTAGAAATCCGAAGAAGATATAGATTTGGATATAGAAAATAACAGGCTGCTGGAAATACATATTTACACAGTATGTGATTACAATCTATATCTCATAATTTGCTTCCTAATAATATCTTAGAAAAGGTCCGAGATAACACAAACCTAGCATACATAGAGCTGGAGCCTTTATTTTACTGGGGAACCAGTAAGATGCACTGCCAGAGCTCCATACATTACACCGATAACTTATGCAGCAAATCTACAACAAAACACAACCAAACAACAAATAACAGCATCAAACTCTCTTTCTCAACACCAAGCATAATTGTACAATCACACCATATATGATACCGTTTAGTGATAGATCTCAATAATAGAGCGCAATCCAAGTGCAGGAATTATCTTGTACCCCTTGAATCCAGCTTCATCAAACAACTTCTTCCATTCCTTTTCAGTCCTCTGCTTCCCTGTGGTGTGAACCATCATATGGATGTCAAAGTGAAGCTGAGTCTCGGTGAGCTTTGGGTGAATTTCGTCTGTAGTGTTCATCACTTTGTCGATGATGATCGCTTTGCCTCCGTTCTCTTGAGTCGGAATCGCCTCCTTGCATCGCTTCAATAAGGTAATGCATGCCTCATCGCTCCATCCGTGGCATACCCACTGCAATCCAAAAAGCAGTGAAGAGATCATTATTTGTAATCATAATTGACAATCTACATAATAAAATTGTGATGTAGAATGCACTGCGAATATATTTATGGAGAAACTAGACCATTAGAAACCCAAATTGGGGCTTGTCGATAAAAATGACTTGCAACGAAGAACAGTTTATATCTCCCAAATCGTATGTTAAAATTGGACTAATTATGTAGAAAAATCGTATATTTTTTTCGGGAAGAAGTAAACCAAAGTAACTGTTCTTCGATTTGCTTGTCTAATTTATGGAGTTTCCTTCAGATTGAGAGATATCAGAGTTTTTTTCAGTTTTTTACTATTTCAGGTAATGCTTTAGAGTTTCTTTTGATTAGAAAAGTAATCCCGTTTGCTTTCAAATTTGACCAACTTGTTTCCTCAATCGCAAGGAGTCTTTTAAGGATAGTTTGTTATTTTTATTTATGGTATAATTCGAATCCTAGTAGGAGTCTAGTTTATTTTTCTATTTAAGCAGAAGATTATAAGCCCTAGTGACATAACTTTTCATCAAGAAACTTCTCTTTATGATATTCTCTTTGTGGACATGAAATTCGCCGTGGATTCGAAAATCATTCTTTGTGAATTCAAAGAACAACCCTTGGTGGATTTCAAGTTTTATTTCTTCCATGCTGCGCTAAATTGACAAAAAAAATGCTATATTTGTAATTATTTTATCTATTTAGCATTTAAATCATGAATATTCTTCACTATCAAAAAAGAATAGCGAGATGACTATCTTTAACCGCAGTCACATGTTATTTAATAGATGGTTTTGATTTATGGTGAGCGAATAGTAGAAATGACTGAAAATCTTAAAATATTTACCATAAATGTTCAGCATGAAAGATATCACTATAGTTATCTAAATATTAATAAATAAGTTTCATTTAAAAATAATCTATCCAAATTAGAGAGGACTAAAAAATTTTTCCCCCTCATTAGAGATGCCAAGAAAGATCCACTTCAGACACATATCGATCATCCGTCATGACTCTCAGACTGGTATGTTGATACTTTCTTATGATATGAACTGCATCAATGATATACTACTTAAAAACACAAGTACATACCTTGAGAATAAGCATATCCGCCGGCGGGATAAACTCAAACATGTCCCCGGCAACATACTCAACCTGGTCGCTCTTCTCCATCGCATTAATCATGTGCGGCAAATCCAACACCGTACACTTGACCTCCGGAAACTTCTCCTTGATCCTCAACGCCATCGTCCCGGTTCCTCCGGCGACCTCCACAAGGCTCTTCACCCCTTCAAACAATTCCCCACAGTCCTCCATAATCACTTTTATAATCGACTGGGAATCACTGCCCAATCCTTCTCTCATCAATTTCCCAAACTCGGGCATTTTGCCCGTGGCCTCCCATATAAACGTCCCATGGAACATCTCAAACGCCGTTGACGGGGTCTCCGTCTTGAACCATGCGCTTAGGGATTGCCAAGGGTTTAGAAGGGTTTCGTCGAGCATGAGCTCAATGAAGGGGGTTATGGACTGGCCCTTTTCTTTTATTAACGGAACAGAGTTTGTTGTCAGGGTGTAACTGTCTATACTTGCATCAGTACTGGTCTGGCTTAGGAAGCCGTTGTGGACCAAGAGGCGGAGGAAGCGCTCAAAGTTTTGGAGGCGGGCGTCAGGGATGGAGAGGAAGCCGTTGTGGACCAAGAGGCGGAGGAAGCGCTCAAAGTTTTGGAGGCGGGCGTCAGGGATGGAGAGGGTTTTGGCGAGTTCATTGAGGGGGATGGGTTTCTTGTAGTTGTTGATGGCGTCGAAGAGGCCGAGCTCGAGGGCGCATTTTAGAGAGAGGGAGTTGATGAAGCTAAAGATGTGGTTCCAGAGGTGAGATTGGGCTTCCAGGAGTTCTTTTGAGGTTACTCCGTCGGTGGCTGCCATTGTTTTGAAGGTGTAACTAAGCTTAACTGGTTGCTGCGCTTGTGCGGAGAGTTGTATCCCGGTGGTGGAATTTATAGAAAAATTTGTGTCTGCAGTGTATGAAATAGTTTGGATATTTTGTACTAGTCCCTCTCATCTTTAATATTTTGAAAGTAGCCCGTCAATTCACAAAACTTTAACTGATAAGCCCCCTTGTATATCTTGCACAAAAGTTTCTGAAAGAGCATCCCGATGCACGAAACTGCCATCACGCATGTCCGAAAATAGTCAGACTACTCTCGATTAAAAAAAAAAGTATTAGTATTTTTTCTTAAAGTATGGGTCAATTGCATGCGAGTTTATCTTTCATTTCTACAAAAGGTTGTTTCCATGATTTGAACCGTGACCTCCACGTTGCAAGAAGATAAGTTTTAGTGTTGCACTGTTGCTCCTGATTGTTGAAATTACTTATACTAATTGGGGGACCTACTAGCTACTTATAAGGACTTAAGGGACAAAAAAATAATTTCAGTGATTTGAGGGACTGATTTTAAAATTGTAAAAAGATCTAAGCGATTTGTATGGAAAAAAACCAAAATTGTCTAGGATAATAACTGACGTAGTGATCCACGACCTCATTAATTGTGGAGATCCTTAGAGCATCTCCAACAGCTTCCTTATTTTTTACTTTTGGAGAATTTAGTTAGGTTTTTGGTCCAACAGATTCCCCATCTCATTCTCCAAAATAGGGATGAATGAGAAAAATGGGGAAGCTTCCCTAAATCTGTAGCATTCTCCAAATTTTTAGAGAAAAAAAGTGATTCTTCAAAATGGGGAAGCTGTTGGAATTGGTGTAAAAATAATTTGAAGAATATGACTTTTGCTTCCCCATTTTAGAGAAAATTTTGGAGAAGCTGTTGGAGATGCCCTTACAACTCACTAATCCCATCTCTTTAGTCAATGGAGTTCATAACTGATATTCCATTATATAAATTATATAATTTTTTTAATTAATTGTAGAAGTTCTCTGCAATTAAAAATATGGAGAATCATGCCCATTGAGAAGGGTTCTTTTCATCCTTTATTATTTTTATCTTATTTTCTTTCTTCTTTATCTTGTTTTTTCTCTCTCATTTTTTCTTTCTTCTTCCTCTTCTGCCCCCCCCCACCCCCCCACCCCCATTTTCTTTATATCTTTTTCCTTTCCTTTCTTTTCTCTTTCTTCCTTTTCTGTTCT